TATATATATATATATATATATATATATATATATATATATATATATATATATATATATATATGGGTAGCCGAATGCAATATACCAACAGACAAACAGACCATGTATATATACATAGATATATATATATATATGCATTCAAATACAAATACTACATATGTATATATATACATATATATATATATATGCGTAGATATATTATTCATAGAATAAATACATTTCTATATGTACATACATCCGCATGGAAATGCATAAAAATACGGAAACGCCTAAAACGGCTAGTAATAATAACACATATAATAATATATAAAATATAATAATAATATTTTACATCGAAATAATTGCAAAGAAAGACAAATGACGAGAAGGCAAATGCAAGGTGGTGACAGAAAACGAATGAAAGAAAGGAAAAAGAGAGTTAAAAGTAAAGAAAGAAAAAAGAGAAGAAAGAAGAAAGAAAAGAAAGAATAAAGAAAAAAAGTGAAGAAAGAAGAGAGTAAAGAAAAAAGAAAGAAAAGAAGATGAAAGAACAAAGAAAAGAAAGAAGAAAGAGAAGAAGATGACAGAATAAAGAAAAAGGAGAAGAACGAAGATAGTAGTTGTAGTAATAAGGGAGAGATTATGAAGAAGGAAGTAAAACCTTTAATTGTTTGCTGCTGATCAGCATCAAGAGACGAAGAAGAAGAAAGAGAGAGAGAAACAACAAAAGAGAGAGAGAGAGAGAGAGAGAGAACAAGAGAGAGAGAGACAGAGACAGACACAGAACAGCTCTAAACAAGAAGAAAGAGAAGAGAGAGCACTAAAAGAAAGAAGAAAAGAAGAAGAAATGCATTAAAATAAAATGCAGCATCACCTAAATGACTTAAAATCGGCAGTTCGTGCGCAACGAAAACTCCAGCAGCAAAAACAGCACCGCTGCTGAGAGCTGCAATTTCTTCGTCTCCTGATGCTGATCGGCAGCAAACAATTAAAGGTTTTACTTCCTTCTTCATAATCTCTTCCTTATTACTACCCCCGCTAGCCTCACCATCACCGCTCCCGCTGCTGCTGCTGCTGCTGCTGCTGTTGCCGCTGCTGCTGTTGCTGCTGCTGCTGCTTGCGTGGTTTGCTTTTGCAATAGTAGCTACCGCTTCTTTGAGAGTTGCAGCAACAATAACTTCCCCAACAAAATGACCAGGGACGAGTATATCATAAGGCTGCTGCTGCAGGTGCTGTCTTAGGCCCCTCAGCAGCACATGAGCGACCTTTGATAACTGAAATATAATGCTGCTTCGAATACACCCTTCAGTGTAAACAGAAAGAAAAGATGCCTGCACCCCTAAGCGGGATCCTAAGGCATCCACGCGGTGTACGTACACCGCAAGCATCAAATCAGAAATCTCTTCACATAAACGCCGAGTTCTTTCTACTGTTGCTTTCAATAATAACATCGACTCCTCATCATTAAGATCAGCTCGCGCGTGGTTTTGTAACTCCTAAAAACATCAAACATGCATCCCTCCAAGTTCTTCCCTATGCATGCGTTAAACTTGCATGCATGCATACAATATGTGCATGCATTGATGCATGCAATATGCATGCATCCATACAATATTCATCCATACATACAATATGCATGCATGCATACAATATGCATGCATGCATACAATATGCAGGCATACAATATGCATGCATACAATGTGCATGCAGGCAGCATTACCCTCACCATACTCCAAACAGCAAAAGACACGAAGCAACACAGAGCAACAGCAACAACAACAAACAGCAGCAGCAGCAACAACAACAGCAACACCAGCAGCAGCAGCAGCAGCAGCACGTTGAATGTACTCGCTGAAGTGCTCTGCATTCCTCCTTGCGCACGCCCGACGCCTCGATGTTGCGGGTTCCCAGGTAAAGGGCCTTCAAATAACATAAAAGCAAACAATTACGCTGTTGCTAATTCTGCTGCTGTTGCTTTTGTTGTTGTTGTTGCTGCTGCTGCTGGTGTTGTTCGTGGGCACGAACGTCACGCAAACGCAGCACAAAACAAACAACAGAACAAACGAAACAAATCAAAACAAATCAAAACAAACAAATCGAAGAAAGAAGCGAAACATAAAAGTAATGAAGCAAAAAAAGACAAAACAAAAACACAAAACAAAACAAAAACACAAAACAAAACAAAACAAAACACAAAACAAAACAACAAAAGGAGATTAAAACGAAACAACACCATGAAGAACAAAACAAAAAAAAGAAGTGCAGGGAAGCAGCGCTACGGTGGCGAGGGAGAAACAGAAAAAAAGAAAGAAGCAAACGAATAACCAATAAAAGCATTTAAATACATGAATAAAACGCTAGCAAACAGATGCAGAAAAACAAACAGAATACACAAGAAGAGACAGATAAACAACAAACAACACCAGAACTAGACAGACAACGCACGCTCACAGGCTCCCACTAGACCCTAAACCCTAAACCCTAAACCCTAAATCCTAAATCCTAAACTCTCAACTCGAAATTCTAAGCCCTGGAGCGTAAACCCTAAACCCTAAACCCTCAACTCTAAACCCTAAACCCTAAAGGGTATATCTTGTTATTGCAACGCACTTCAATTGCATCAGTCCATCTGAATTCACTGTAGGGGTCTTCAAACAAATTAACTAAACGGCTAAATAATACAAACGCGGAGTCTTCAAGTTGAATTTCTGTCATTCGCCTGCATGCACACCACAAGAAAAACGAAGAAAGTAATTATCTTGATACTTCATTTATCTATTCAATAAAGAGACGAAAGCTTTAAAGAGCTTACATAGGAAATGCAATACGTGGTACAGGATATCATAGAGGTATACCATATATATATATATATATAT